GGGGATAAGTGAATGTAAAAGTTTGATAATTAAGAATATTCTTACTGCTTGTTTGGCATAATAGTTTCGGGGTAATGGTTAATAATGTTGTCCAAATCACAATAGAGTAGATGTTTAATAAATTTATTTATTTTAAAATTATAATAAATTAGGTGTTTATAGTAAATATTTTTATTTAGTAATTTATCACTAGAGAATAGCGATTATGATTTAAATTGTTAGTGAATTTTTTTTTTAATTTTTATTGATAAATTTACCTTTTTTAATTTTTTTAATTTAGTATCAAAGTTCTATTGATGATTCCTAACTATGGTTGATAAAATTTCAATTTTATGATTTTAGATATCTAAATTGAGTTAAATCAGAGTAAAAATCAAAACTTTATAAAATTAAAATAAAACCGTAAACTCATAAAATTTTATGAGTTTAAATTGGATTGCGACAAATTTTAACGGTTTTTTATATTTTTGTTTCCTAACCCCTAACTAGTGTAGTAGTGGAAATGCGCTACCTACTTTCAAATGGGCCGTTTGACCATGGTTCAAACCTTGGCTATGTAATTCGGTACATTTTGATTTCAGGGAAAAAAGTATCAAGATTTCATTGGTTTATTTAATTCATTGACTTCTCTTTTGTTGCTCGAATAGAGAAACTATTTTAAAAACATTTTCAAAATAGTAAGAGTTTAACAGAGTCTAGCCAAAGTAAGTTTTGAGCTGGGTTTGAGCACAACTTGAATATCAATTGTAATCTATGGAGATATGTTGTATTAGAAGACGGGGGAAGTATCGTTCATTTTGAGTTGTTCCTAAGAGCGTATATAATAGCAAAGCTCTTTTGGGTGTTTTTGTTAATGTAATGTCCTTACGATTAATTTTATTTTATATGAATTTATAATTATATATTTTTAATACTCAAATAAAATACTTTTTTCATAATACACGTACTCAAATAATTTTTTTAAAATTGTATTAATATTATTTTACTAAATTCATGTTTATTTATTTAAATTATTATTTTGTAAAACCATATTATTCATATTTATAATTTTGTAATAAAA